AAGGAAAAATGACCAAAAACTGCCACCACAGGTATGTTATTGTGTGTTTTGTCATGACACACACACACACACACACCTCTCTCTCTCTCGGCTCGTGTCATCTAATCACTAGGTGTCTGACCAGGTCTCGTCACCACCATTACTTGTCACAAACACCAACACGTTCCTTCTACTTATAATAGATGGTGACGGTGTGTGGAAACTCTGCCTCACCTGTATCATGCAATGTGAAGGCGACTATTACGGATATTCTTAAAAAAAATCGCAGTTCGTCCCTCTCTCTTCAACACTCCCTCCTCTGCTCCAACACCCTTTCTCTTCCTCCAACATTCTCTCGCTCTAACACCCCTTCCTTCTCTTTCCTCAACATTCTCTCGCTCTAACACCCCTTCCTTCTCTTCCTCCTTCTAACACTCCTTCCTTCGCTTCCTCCAACACTTGCTCACTCCAAAATTCCCTCCTTCCCTTCCATCCTCCAACACGCCTTCCTTCCTCTTCTAACACCCCTTCTTCCCTCCAACACCCCCTCACCACCCTCCACCCCTCACCACCCTCCAACAACCTATGAAAACTGTACCAGTAAATTGAAAAAAAATTCTACATATATTCTATCTGACAATCATGAAACTCGAAATAACAAAAGCTATCTATCAATTGTTTACCTGGACATGTGACAAAGGTAGGGGCGGGGTGGGGGCAGAAGAGGGGTAGGAGGAAGGGGGTCTTACATAAACAATATAGGAATCGCCACAGGACTCCAGGATTTCATGACACTCCTACAGTTTCTGGTTAGGTTAGGTTAGGTTAGACAAGGGCGAGACTGGTTGGATTACAGTGGCTTTTGTGTAAGGGAGTGGTACCGAGCAACAACCTGGGCGGGGTGCAATGAGGAAGTGAAACGGGCTTGGAGCTGTGGATATTTTACCCTCAGTCAGTCAGTCATTCCGTCAGTCAGTCAGTCAGTCATTCCGTCAGTCAGTCAGTCAGTCAGTCATTCCGTCAGTCAGTCAGTCAGTCATTCCGTCAGTCAGTCAGTCAGTCAGTCAGTCAGTCATTCCGTCAGTCAGTCATCTGTTATCAGTTAGTCGGTCAATCAAAGAAGCGTTCATATAGCTGACTAACGCAATAATAATGAATTAATTAAGACAGGTAAGGGGGTTTGGTTGGGTAGGATAAGTGATATATCTGAACCAAGTACCTGGTCTTAATTACCCTGGATAGACTACCTGTACAAGGTATGGTTATGGTACTCTCCTAATAACACACTACCACATTACTGTCACTACCATCACCACAGCTACCACCATCACCACAGCTACCACCATCACCACAGCTACCACCATTATTATTACCAGTCATCATACACAGTTTATTGTGATGACAGACACGAAAACAACAACAACAATCAACATCAAGTGTGTAGCTCTCTCTCTCTCTCCCCTGCAGTGAAGGTAATCGCTTATCGCTGAATTTATCTCTGCGTGACTCTAAACGATTGTGAGGTGACATTCCTTAGGGAGGGTAGGGAGGGGAGGGGGTAGGGGTGGTAGAAGGGGAGGGGAGGGGGTGGTAGAAGGGGAGGGGGGTGTTGATATTATGAGGGAAATTTTTGGGTGCAGGAAGTTTGGTTTCCCCTTGATGGTCCGCTTCCGTGTGTGTGTGTGTGTGTGTGTGTGTGTGTGTGTTAATTCACCTCACACTCAGGTAATATCAGCACAGTTCGGTGGTAATCAGAAGACACTTACCACCTACACCAAGATTCGCCAATCGCCAGGACGATGCGTCACCAATCACCCACCATTATAATTGGCCAGTTGCCGGGGTGACAAACTCAAACACGTCAACACACATTCAACGATTCGCCAGTCACTCTGCTTCATGAATAGACACCACCATCATGATTCGCCAGTCACTGTGGTAGGTGAATAGACAGACAGACAGACACAGACAGCAGGATGACTAGCTAGTTGGAGGTGGGAGGTAGAGGTTCGGGGTGGAGGTTGGATAGAGAGAGGAGGGGAGGGGCGAGGCGTCACTCACAAGGGGCAGGCAGAGTGACGGGGAGTAACAGCGATAACATTCAAGTGAAATTCCACCTTCGCCACACTCCCTGGGTACACCAAACCTGTAGGGTCACCGTTACACACTTTCCACACCTTCGTTTCATTTGTTACTTACACACGATATCTGTCTCTGTGTAAGTAACATTGTGAGGTTATGTCAAATAGCTGTACACTTATGAAAGCACTTAATTACTTATATTTAATCACTTATTTAAACCCCACTTTAATCACACACACACACACACACACCTCCTGAACTTTGATGTACGTGTTACGCTTTCTACCGTGTTCACACTTGAGAGAACAGTAGAATAACGAGTCACAGCGGATCACAGGGGTTGTTCATAACTCTCTCTCTCTCTCTCTCTAGCTTGAGAAATTTGTTTAATAAATTCCCTTTTTTTTTAAATAAACTTCCCAGCATTACTAAAAAAATTATCTAATCTCTTTAATTACTGACTTAATCGCATTTGAGATTTTTTTTTAACTTGTATTTTTCTATTACAAGTTATGTAATTTATTCTGACAAAAGTAATTCTGGTTAATTAAATTCCTGCTCTACTCTAAATCTACTATTAATCCCCAACTAATTCTAATACCACAGTAAAATTCTTCTCATATTTGGTGTACATTTCCTTCCTTATAAATTCCACAGCTGGGGTGGCGATTCTTCAGGTGACCTAATTCCCGTTCGTCTAAAGTTCAGTAATACCTTGTACATAATTCTTTCATTTACCGTAAGTACCACATAACTAAGTCCTAAGGAATTGGTCTCCTCTCGATCCAACAATTTTTATGTACGTCAACAAAATTCCCGTCTCTCAACCTAACAAATTCTCAACATTACAGGTAAATCTCTCAGGTGTAGGGAGGGGGCAAGAAGTGTGCTCTCTCACACACACACACACACACACGAAGAATCTCAACTCCCAGGTAAATGTTTACACTCAAACACGTCGGGGACATTGACCAACAGGTAAACAAGGTAAACAGACTCACCTGGGCGTTGTGTATACAGGAACCACAACACTACGGTAAACAATTACGTATGAATAATATTTTTCAACTCAACACCAACAACACAAACAAACAAACAACTCTAACTATGCAGAATCATCTATATAACAAACACAAAACACGTCACATATAAACAAACAAAAACATTACTTAAAACACCTTTATAATCCTTAAACAACAATTACAACAAATATGACACAACTAACACAACAAAAACATTCAGGCAGGTAAACAACAACACAAGAAAAACACCTCAACTATCCGTGTGGGTCAGGTAAGGTAGAGGTGGGCCAGGTAAGGTAGAGGTGGGGTCAGGTATGTAGAGGTGGGGTCAGGTACAGAGGAGGCCAGGTAAGGTAGAGGGGCAGGTAAGGTTAGAGGTGGGGCCAGGAAGGGCAGAGTGCAGGTATGCAGGAGGTGGGGCAGGTTAGGAGGTGGGCAGGTAAGGTGAGGTGGGTCAGGTAAGGTAGAGAGGTGGGTCAGGAAGATAGAGGTGGGTCAGGTAAGGCAGAGGTGGGTCAGGTAAGATAGAGAAAAAAATGGGGTAAGTGCAGAGGTGGGTCAGCAAGGTAGAGGTAACAAAAAGATAGGAGGTGTATTGTAAGGAGGGCTGCAAGAGAGGTGGGTCAGGTAAGGTAGAGGTGGGTCAGGTAAGGCAGGGTCAGGTAATGTAGAGGGTTGCAGGCAGGTAAACAACAACACAAGAAAAACACCTCAACTATCCGTGTGGGTCAGGTAAGGTAGAGGTGGGCCAGGTAAGGTAGAGGTGGGTCAGGTAAGGTAGAGGTGGGTCAGGTAAGGTAGAGGTGGGCCAGGTAAGGTAGAGGTGGGTCAGGTAAGATAGAGGTGGGTCAGGTAAGGTAGAGGTGGGCCATGAGAGGTGTTGGGCGTTCCATTCATACCTTCATCCGTTTGTTTACATCCATCAGCTGATCACCGCCGCCGCCTCACTCAGCCTGGTGGGGTCGAGCTGAGGTGTTTGTTGGGATGAGGGATTTGAGTATCTTGATTGTACGTCTGTGCCAAGGGGTGTGTGTGTGTGTGTGTGTGTGTGTGTGTGTGTGTGTGTGTGTGTGTGTGTGTGTGTGTGTGTGTGTATAGTGTGTGTTGTCACTTGTTTCTGCATTTTTCTCCCTTGTGATATACTCTCCATTCTGTTATCCTCCTATTCTTCTCTCATTGGTTCTTCTTCTTCTCACTTTCTCCTCCTACGGTTATCTTCCTTTACACTCTTTCTCTTATTTCCCTTTCCCTTCCATCTTCTATCTTTATCACCCTCTCCAATGCTTCCTTTTCCTCCTCCTGCCTCTCTCTTCCCTTATCCCTTCCTCTTATATCTTTTAATCTTCCACTATCTCTTCTCTCTCCTTCTCTATTTCCTCCTCCTTTCCTTCTCCCTTCCTATCCACCTCTACCATCCTCCCTCACCCACCATAAGCACCACCACAACAAAAGCTGCTCCCCCACCACAACCTCTCTCCTCCCCACCACTAACCTCCTTCTCCCTCACCACTACCTCCCTCTCCCCCAACACTAACCTCCCTCTCCCCCACCACTAACCTCCTTCTCCCCCTCTCCCTTACCTGTGACAAATGGTACAGGTAATTAACATCTCTCACTCACCTGCTGAAGTTACGGCAGACGTGTTAAGTCTCGCGGGAGCACATCAACCCGGGGGAGAAAGTAACGAGAGGGAAAGTAACGAAGTAAAAAAAGTAACAAAGGAAAAAAATAAAAAGGTGAAAAGTAACGAAGGAAAAAAAACGAGGGGAAAAATTAGCGAAGGAAAAAGTAACAGGCGGTGATTGAGGGTGGGGGAGGGAGGAGAATGGTGAAGTGAGGAAGAGGGAAGAAAAGAAGAGAGGAGGAAAAGAACGAAGGGTAGGCTCGTCAACATGAAGAAACAAAACTCAAACTAACCTTATGAACTAGGTTCCTGGCATGTTGGTAGAAGAGCTCTACAGTTTGTGGTCCCTGTAGCTGTAGTATTGACTCCACGTAGAATCTGTAGGAGGAAGAGGTACAGGTGGTTAATTACGTACAGGTAAAAAAATAAACACCAGAAAAAACTCGTACCGAGCCTACAGGTACCAGAGGTGGCTCACAGGTAAGAAAAGTACAGGTAATCTATGCAAGTCAAGGTTGGTTAAAGTCTCACTAGTAGATCATCATTAAGTTCACAGGTACTACAGGTCGTCCATAGGTACTCTACAGGTACTGCAAGTCGTCCAGGTACTCTACAGGTAAGGCAGGTCACATCAAAAGCCTCACCCAAACAACCTGTTCCTGTAAGAGAGTTAAGACCTTACTACAGACCCACACCTCCAACACGAGCAACCAACAGTGCCTGGCGTTCCCATCCCTTCTATACCTGAGAACGCTATACGCCAGACGAACGATATCGCCCACCTCTCCTAATGGCAGCGTCAGTCGATCCAAGATACAGAACGTAAGAGCGACATAAAGACCACGCCAACCCCTGACAGCTTCACACAGCCACTAAGGCTCGTTACTGTACCCTGCAGCTGTCACCCACCCCCCCCCCCCTACACACACACGCTGTCAAAGATAACATACACATGATAACACTAGGCTGAGTCAAAGCAGATAACATCGTGAGTTGTGTGTGTGTGTATGTGTGTGTGTGTGTTATCGTGGTTTGGAAGGCGAGTAACGACAGACGGCAGGACAGGATAGTGGGATAACGGCCTCTTGGGATAACAGGAAATAACTTGGTTGTATATATCTGTGACGTAGGGACAATGGTTATCTCACCTGGGATAAATCTCTCTCTCTCAGCACCTGCCATCTCACACACACACAAATCTTCCCTCGTGAGTTAAACACAAACAGCACACCAAACTATACACCATACACCATCATCATACACCACACCACATCATACACCACACCATCATACACCACACCATCATACACCACACCATCATACACCACATACACACCATCATACACCACACCATCATACACCACACCATCATACACCACACCATCATACACCAATCATCATACACCACACCATCATACACCACACCATCATACACCACACCATCATACACCACCACACCATCATCACACCACACCATCATACACCACACCATCATACACCACACCATCATACACCACACCATCATACACCACACCATCATACACCACACCATCATACACCACACCATCATACACCACACCATCATACACCACACCATCATACATACACCACACCATCATACACCACATAACACACCACACCATCATACACCACACCATCATACACCACACCATCATACACCACACCATCATACACCACATCATCATACACCACACCATCATACACCACACCATCATACACCACACCATCATACACCACACCATCATACACCACACCATCATACACCACACCATCATACACCACACCATCATACACCACATCATCATACACCACACCATCATACACCACACCATCATACACCACACCATCATCTTCTTCGTATACTATTTCCGGCATACATCCATCCATACAACATCGTGATGCTACATACTGTACTCTCTTCTCTAGTTAAGTATAAAAAATAATATACGATTTTGTTCTTTAATCTCTTCCCTCTCCAAAAAATTAAAAAAATAAAATTAATAAATAAAAACCGTAATGAAAAAAATTATAGCATTTTTTTCTAACTTAAATAATAGTAATAATAATAATAAATTTAATAATAATAATAATAATAATAATAATAATAATAACAATAATTAATAATAATAATAATAAAAACGCCAACTATCTCGACCCGCAGGAGCATGTCACGGTTCCTGGTGAGGCGTGATTCTACCAAGAAGCAATGAACAGGATGTACACTTCCTATGATAAAAATAAATAAAATGATATTCTATTATTTTTTGATAGTTGGTGTAAAGTATCCTTGTCATGTTGAATTTATAATTGTAGGAATATCATCATCATCATAATCATCATCAACATCATCATCAAATCTTATACTAATTATTCTTATCATTATTATCATCAACATTCTCATTTTCACTGGAGGGTTGTGAAACTAATGAACGCACGCACACACGCCTGCGTCCCTCTGCCACGTAAATGTGAATAATAAAGTGTGAGGCCAGACATACTGCCTCACACGCCTGTTCTCACGCATTTGTGAATAAGTTACCCTCTATGTATAGAACTAAACAAATAATGTAAATGAAATACTGTGTAACATTCAGTGCCATAATGTCCTGACAACGGGGGTTAATTATTATGACCCTTTGTAAACCCTACTCTGTCATCCTTTTGCGCTACCGCTCACAGGATGAGTGTGGGGTGCACAATAAAGTAGCCGCTGCAAGCGGCAAAATCAAAAATCAAACCTCTGCGTCTCAGGTGTTGTCTGGAGTACCTGAATCTACTTGTGTTTACCTGGAGTCTATCTGTCCCGTGGTCGTAGGTGAGTCTACCTGGCTTGTGAGGATAGGTTAGGTAGGTAGGTAGGTAGGTAGGTAGGTAGGTAGGTAGGTGGGTGGGTGTGTGTGTGTGTTCATTAGTTTCACTACCTTCCACCCACAACCATTACCACCACCATCATCAGTAGCCTCCATCACCATCAACACTACGTCACCATTCGCCCTTCCTTTCCCTCCACCCTCCTCCACGCTCCTCCCCCGCCCCTCCCTCCCACCTCCTCCCACGCCCCTCCCCTCCAACACACACACGCAGGGGAAGATCACTTTATCTGGTCACGTTGTATTTTGATGAATGACTGAGAGGAAAATTTTGGGCAGCAGGTAGAAGGAAGAAGAGGAAGAAGAAGAAGAGGAGGAGGAGGAGGAGGAGGAGGCAAGAATATTAACAGGTGCGGTATAAGAGAAGTAACCCCATTGAGGATCAGTGAGAGGCACCTGTCGCCCTCCTGTAATCACCACTTAAGTACACCAGACTAACACCAAAAAGTGACCGTGAAGACCATAAGTGGTGAGTAATTAGCGTTAGAAAAGTGATTGAAGTTATTGAGATGTCATTTGGCCAAGTAATTAAACAAATGTCGAATTACGGCCAACAGATTCTTAACATAAATCTCTGTTCACAAAGGTTTTACGAGTCTTGACATTTGGCGCTCTCTTTTTTTCCTTTTTTTTTCTTTTTTCTACTCGTTTGTAATTTATATATGAAGAAAATGACCAGTGAACGAAATCAACACCAACTGACAGATATCAGCACCACTCATGTGCTCGAGCCGAAGCTGGAGCAGGGGTCGGAATCCGAGTCGGAGCTAGAGTCGGAGTCGGAGCTAGAGTCAGGGTCGGAGCTAGAGTTGGAGTCGGAGTTAGAGTTGGAGTCGGAACTCGTGTCGGAGGTAGACTCGGAGAGTTCGCTGGCTCCCCGGGTCTACATCGACTTATGGTCCTATCAGCAGAGGCCGTTCTTGCTCGGTCTTAGCGTGGCGTGGTACATTGGCTGCGTTTTAATGTTGGCTCTGTCGATAGTTATACACAACTGGTGGATGCTGGCGGGCGCAGTAGTGTTGGGCATCTGTTCCGCCGTGCTCACGGACCTGAGGAGGCACCAGACCAGAATGGGGGCGAGGGACCAGTACTTCTTCGAATTTAACCACGTGAGAAACTTTATTACGGGCTTTATTATGGGGTTGACCATATGCGCCATGACCACGTACGCCAGTCTGGGCATCTACAGTTACGTACAAGCGATCCCGCTCTATGGGATGATGTTCGTCGTCATCGTGCTCCCCTTCCTGGGCACGAAGACCCCGCCACCAACCTCCTCCTCCAGCAGAACGGCGAGTGGGGGAGTAAAGAGCAAACATCACCAAAGTAAGTCTGGCGAAAGTAAGTCTGGCGAAAAGAAGTCTGGCGAAAAGAAGTCTGGCGAAAAGAAGTCTGGCGAAAAGAAGCCTAAAAAAATTAAGCCTGGCGAAAAGCCTAAAAAAATTAAGCCTGGCGAAAAGAAGCCTAAAAAAATTAAGCCTGGCGAAAAGAAGCCTAAAAAATTTAAGCCTCCCAAAAAGGGGAAGCTTCCCAAAAAAGGGATTGGTCAAGGGGGGAAGCCTCCACAAAGAAAGCCTGGAGAAAAGGGGAAGCCTCCCCAAAAGAAGCCTGGCCCAAAGAAGCCTCCCCAAAAGAAGCCTGGCCCAAAGAAGCCTCCCCAAAAGAAGCCTGGCCCTAAAAAGCCTCCCCAAAAGAAACCTGACAAAAAGAAACCCGACAAAAAGAAACCTGACAAAAAGAAGGCAAAAAAGAAGCCTAAAAAGAAGCCTAAACAAAAGAAGCCTAAAAAGAAGCCTAAACAAAAGAAGCCTAAAAAGAAGAAGCCTAAAAAGAAGAAGCCTAAAAAGAAGAAGCCTAAACAAAAGAAGCCTAAAAAGAAGAAGCCTAAAAAGAAGAAAAGGGGAGGCAAGAAAGGTCGTTCCGATAAAAAATCAAGTAAAAAAGATAAAGATGGTAAAAGTGACAAAGATAAGGATAGCAAAGATAAGGATAGCAAAGATAAGGATAGCAAAGATAAGGATAGTAAAAGTGACGAAAAAGGTAGCCAAAGTGGTGAAAAGGGTAGCCAAAGTGGTGAAAAGGGTAGCCAAAGTGGTGAAAAGGGTAGCAAAGTGGTAAAAAGGGTAGTCAAAGTGGTGAAAAGGGTAGTAAAGTGGTGAAAAGGGTAGCCAAAGTGGTGAAGGTAGCCAAAGTGGAAAAGGGTAAAAGTGGTGAAAAGGGTAGTCAAAGTGGTGAAAAGGGTAGCCAAAGTGGTGAAAAGGGTAGCCAAGATGAGAATGGCCAAGTGGCGACAAAGGTAGCCAAGATGACCACCTCCTTTGAGGACGCCGAGGACGACGCCGGGGAGGGTGATGGGGACGACGCCTGGGAGGACGACGGAGACGACGCCTGGGAGGACGACGGAGACGACGCCTGGGAGGACGACGGGGACGACGCCGGGAGGGTGATGGGGACGGCCTGAGGACGACGGAACGACGCCTGGGAGGA